GGAGTTGAAGTCCACGCATCTGAAAGTGGTCAAATTTGAGAAACACTGCTATAGAACGATGGAGAAAAGGTGCAGAAAATAAGATACCCGAAGTTATTCTCACATCAGAAAAGATTGTGAGCACTTAACCAGCAAAGCAAGGCTGCATGAAGTATAACCTTGCAGGAATTGTTGAAATCCAGGTGCCATCAGTCTTATCCTGCAGGGGCAACAGGGAAGGATGATGGGAACTGCAGTCCAACAGACAGAAGGTCACCTACTCCCCTTCTCTGCTGTTATGAGTTGGAAATGGAAAGTACAGGAAGAAAATATGAGAAACTCGAAGCACCAGGCAGAAGATCATTCTGGGCAAGTGATGGTCACTTAAGTGATCATTCTGGGCAAGGCATAATGACTCAAGTTATCATCTTAAATATTGTTTTAACTCTGTATTTTTTCAACCTTGGCATCTTTAGGATGTGTGGACTTCAACTCCCAGAATTCTGGGTGAGGTATTCTGGGAGCATGCTGGCTGGGGAATTCTGGGAGTTGAAGTCCACTCATCTTAAAGTCACCAAGATTGAAAAACAGTGTTTTAACGTGTTATTTCCTAACAGTACAAGGCTTAAACCTGCCTCAGGAGTAAATTCAAATTATACTAGCTGCCCCCTGCCCATGCCTTTTCTTTTTAAGTTGTAAGAGAAAGAAATGGAGTTTTTACACAGAAACACAAGGTCTGTTCGACCTAAGCCCCATCTCCTGTGTTTCTTTGCCCACACCCGTCCCCTTTCCTTCAACAGCTTACCTTTTCGGTGGGGTAGTCTCCTGCTCGTACCTTCTGCACTAAACATTGTACATGGTGAGTAACTGCAACCACCTGAATCCCCACAAAAGGAGGAAAAGGAGAAAGCAATTCTCAGAAAGGACATGAAGAAGCAATGCCAGCTGCAAAAGTGGGAGTGGGGCTGAAAGTCCATGTAATGGAAAAGTAACATCTTTATCTCACCTGTTCCTGCAGAGATTTGAACAGGGTTAGTGCTGCGGGCAAGTCAGCTTCCACAACATCCTGGAACATGGAGGAAAATATAGGCAGGGGAAAAAAAAATCAATTTCTGTATTTCACGCTTAGGAGAAATACTGGAGTCCTTTAGCACAGCAGAACCAAACTTTCAAGTGCCTTGAAACTCCGTCCTTTCTAACACTTTGTGTCATGAAACTTAAGCTGATGTAAAGTTGG